CCCTGGGGCTCGAGGCCTGGGGCCGCCTCTGTGCCCGAGCCACGCTCCTGGAGGATGGGTGGGGGGAGAAGGTCGGAGGCCCGAGCGGGGAAGCGGGCAGCCGGGTCACCCGGCGTCCCCCAGGACCGCCCAGGGGCGTGGCGCAGACATTTCGGTCGGAAGCGTGGCTCCGGGTTGCACGGGCCCGGGACCGCGTTGCCCGGGTTACCGAGCGCGCGCCGCTCCGACGCTCCGCCCGCGATGCCCCGCCCCCTCCGGCTGTGGCTGCCCTCGGCACTGCCTGAGAGACCGTGTGCTATGTGCAGGGTCATTACTTTGGCCGAGCTGCGGAGGCGGGTTTTGATTTTGGGGACTTTCTCTGTGCTAAGAGATACGGCGCCGTGAGCGGTGAGGCGACAGACTAGTGGCTTCTTGGTGCTCAGGCTTGCTCAGGGCGACTAGCTGTGGGGTCTCCGTGGCGGGTCCTGCTGGCTGTCAAAATGGCAGCGCCCAGTAGGCACGGGTCCTGCTGAAGAGGGAGATTAGGTTTCTTTCCTGTAAACGGGCAACTTTCTGCCGTTCTGATTTTGAGCATCCTGAATCTAGGTTTCTCGGGAGAGTGGCGGGTGAGTGGTGGCCTTGCTGCAGTGTGGGAGGTGTGACGTAGATTGTTTGTGGTAGCAAGTTTGCACTATGGCTGTGAATTTTCCCATTTCCGGGTTATTCCTTGAGGCTTTTGAGATTTCACTTGTGAATCAAGAGTCTCTAGAGTTTTGTAGGCTATTAAGGGCATAAAAAAAGCAGAGGCCTGCGCTGTAGACGGTGATTAATTGCCGAGACTTTTAGGGCCTTAAGGACTCTTGGGATCATTTCAAACCCAAGAGAAGCTCTCCCTTGGATTTTCTTGGAAGACTTCAACTTTTGTGAATCAGCGTCCGAAAGTGGTGGAAAAATTTTGCATTCCGGACTTTGAAGGTGGGAGTGGGCGCAGGGAAGCCTCAGCTGGTTCTGATTTCTGTGTTTTGAAAACACATCTTACTATTTTTGGAATCTTTATAAGCTACGTTGGGAAGCGCCACAGCTTTCTGCCCCCAAACAGCGAGGAGTAAGTTTATATGCCAAAACCAAGTTTTCGTTAACGTGTATTTTCATCTCTTGGTGTGTCTGATTTTGAAACCATATTTGTTCTATGTGGAAGCAGCTGCATATCTTGAGAACTTTAAGGGCGGGAAATACTTCTCTGTCCTTACCATGCTTTAGGGTACTCGCGTCAACACTTCTTTGCATACAAATACACTTACTAGTCACGATGCAATGGCATTAGAACCAAAGTATCGAAGAGAAAAAGCTTTTATAAAGATCCTTTTAGGACTATTGTCTGACATCTTTCAGGTCAGCATCTGTGACTCTCAAAATCGACTTCTTAAAAACAGGGTAGTAGGACTTCCGTCATTCTTGTTGGTTGGTCGGGTCATTGCCTCAGGTTTATTGGAAAGGCTTTTAATATTTTGAGTTTTCTTTTGGGACTTCTTAGAAGATCCATGAGTAAGGGAATTGCACATTGCTATGGAGTAAGTTGCAGAGCTCTTTTTCCTTAAAATGACACAGTATTAAATGATATGTTTCATGTGGGGAAACTGCAATTTTAATGCAAGTTAAAGTAGAGAAAATTATTGAAATGAGAAAAGAATGAAAATGATTTTAGCCTGTTTAAAAAGAGCTAGAGCTGGGTGTGGTGGTGAATGATCTCTGCAAGTTCGAGGCCATCCCGGGCTACACAGTGAATTCAAGGCCAGTCTGAACTATATATAGTGAGACTCTGCCTCAAAATCTCGAACAAAAGCAAAAACAGTGGGGTTACTGATTCTTTCTTTTTTTTCTTGGCTTTGGCTTACATTTTGAAAGTAAAATTGGCATAACTACTGTACACAATTGCTTATGCCTAATTTATTAAGGAATTTAATCATTAGTCTGTTATGTATCTTAATAACTATTGTAATCAAGTACAACACATAAAGCAAATAATTTAAACTTTATGAAAATTTTATTTGACCACAATAAAGTTAAGTAACAGTGATAAGCTGTGTCTCTAGATACTAGAACTTAAGCTTTAAAATGTTAAAGTTTCATATTCACTTATCTATAGCTCAACTGCCTATAGTTCTTTACCTATGTAAAAGCATGCATTACTTTGTATTAAAAGTAGGGATGTAAATGAGCACTTAATGCTTTTTAACCGAAACTTCTCTTACCGTAATAAGTAGTATAACAGTTTACTCTCTTTAAGCTTAAGTATTAGTAATAAGTTAAGAAAATCTTCTGTAGCAGAAGGAACTCATTATTTAGAACAAAGATCTAAATCTTTTTTTTTTTCCCCGATACTGGGGTTTGAACCCAGGCTTCACACTGAGCTACATTTCCCCTCCCCTCGCTTTTACTTTGCTTTGCAAGAGTTCCACTAAGTTGCTAAATTGGCCTGGCTGGGCTTGAACTTTCTATTCTGCTGCCTCAGCCTCCTTGGGGTTATAGACATGCATTACCGTGCTTTACCACACATTAAATTCCCTGGTGAGTCTGTGTAGCTTGAATTGATCCATCCCACCGTATAGCCTGGCTGGATCTAAGTCTTCGTTATACATTTCATTTGTTTTTACTGATCCTTTATTCAAATAGAAAATGAAAGTGGAAAATACCATAGGATCAACTAAATGATTTATACAGAGGAACAGTTTGAAACTCTTTTCTTCATTCCTTTAACATTTATTGACTATTTCCTATGTGCCACACAATGTATAGGATAATATAGTTACAGTGATGAGACCCCTCCCCCCAAAAATCCTATAGGGGGTAGATAAACAAAGCAAGACTTTATTTTTGATTGCTGCTGTGATTGACATAGTACTACCAAACACTAGCGGAGCACAGAGAGGACTATTCAGCTGTGCCTTTGACTCAGGGAAGACTTTCCATCATAGAAGATAATCCCAGAATGAGGAGTAAGATTCAGGTGATGAATGGGGTAAGTTCGATTGCAGTGTGTGTTTAAGGCACAGCAGTGTGTAAAGCTATCTGTTTAGACAGCTCCGAGTGCCTTGGAGTGGTGGGATGTAGGTGGAGAGGGACCGCCTATCAGACTATGGTTAGTGTGTACCAGCTTTCTTTTTAGATGTTTCCTTTCTATTTGAAATAAGTTATTTCTTCCCCTGAGTGCTGGCAAAGTTATAAATCCAGTAGAATTTACAGCAAGCTGTTGAAATGGAGGTTAGTTATCTTGGTGTTGATAGGCTTTTTTTTTTCAAACCATGACTTTGAATTTTACATTCCAGGAGCGCTGAAATTTCCTTTCTTTATTTGTGCATTCTGCATGTGGCCTGGTACTTCAAGTTATAGTTCTTGTGGAAACCTGAGCAAACACAGATCCTGTTTTCCAGCACTTTGTAGTTTACATGCATTTGTAGATAACTGCAGTGTGGGATGGGGATACAGAGTACTACAGGGAGGGGCTGGTCCAGCGATGCGGGGCTCAGCCCAGAGAAGGCTCTTCTCCCTCCGAGATGCCCAGGTCGCACCTCAGACCAAGTCAGCATGTGTGTTTGGAATTCTCTGGTGAGTGTGCACAGCTAGGATTGAGAAGCATTGATCTCAGTGATTTAAGGGGCTTTGGTAGGACGTAGTGTTTGTGTTTGGGCAAGGACGTGGGTTTGAGCCAAGCCTTGAGAACAGGTGAAGGAGTTGGGCCTATGGGGGTGATGATAAAAGGGTAGTTCAGGACGAAGGGCTGTCCTTCACCTGGGACAGGCAAGAAGAGGAGCCCCTGAGTGAAGGCAAGGGAGCAGACAGTCACAGTGTAGCAAACAGCCGGGCGGGGCTGTGTCTAGAACTGGAAAGTGGAGGCGCGTGCTGAGGCAATCTTGGGGAAAGGCAAGAGCTCAGCTCTCCAGGGTTTGGCACACACGGAGTGCAGCCCTCACATCATCTCAGCCAATCGTTCAGGGACCTGAGGCATGAACTGGTACTTCTGTTTCATGAAAGGGCCGTGGGCGGTTAGGTTATTCAGCCACAGTCAGAGTCTAGGAAGTGCTTGGGGTGACGTTGGCCCAGGAGGTGATAAATGCTGCTCTGTGTTGCCCCACTGATTCACAGATGGTTTTCCATGCCAGGATTTGACATTCATTAATTTTCTTGGATAGTGTGAGTAAGTTTTAGTCACATTTGAATTTTAATTTAGTTGGCTTCTCACTTATTTGTAAAACTAACTGGTGTGTATAAGAAATACTATAAATATGCAGAGACTCTCATGTTGATTTTTATACTAGCTTTTTAGTCTTTTAAGATAAATTTACATTTTTTTCTATTAAAATCTCTTTGAAAAGACTTGTTGCCTTTTTTAGGTGGTCTATTTCTGCGTGTGAGAAACATTTCCTCTTAGGATTTTCTGAGACTCCGTATTTCTGTAGAAACTTATCAAATAGATTCAAGAAAATCTATTCTCTGTTTTTAGGTATTCATAAAGCCATGATACATCACACCTAGATATGCTCGCTTCAGCGATTGAGTTCCCTTCCTTGTGGGAAACAGCAGTGAAACTGACAGTAGATTTGGGGAAATTATATTGTGTAACTCAGTTCTAGACGAACTGTTTTTAAGAGCAGTTCTTCTCTTTTAAAGAGAGAAACCATCATTTCCTAGCACAAGCCTCCACCGACATGAGAACTCTTTCCCACTGTATTTATGGTACTATTCTGTTATGATTCACCTTCATCCTTTTTTTCTTACTACTTAGGAGTGATAACTACTGTGTTATGTTTTTCTGTGATCCATATATTTTAGAATGATGTGTTAATGAGATTAACTATGATAAGAATGATAACCTTTATGTAGAGTACATTTTTCAGGAGCCCTGCTGTGCACTTTGCTACCATCCCATTGTTTGTAAACATCAGTTTGAAGTTGGTGGTTTCTTTGGTGTTTCTTGAACACGCCTGTACTGAGGGCTTGGTCTTCAGTGTGGGGGATGTTCAGAGGTGGTGCCTATTTGGGTGAGGCAGGTCACAATATAATTTCCCCAAATCTACTGTCAATTCACTGCTGTTTCCCACAAGAAAGGGAACTCAATCGCTGAAGCGAGAATATCTAGGTGTGATGTATCATGGCTTTATGAATACCTAAAAACAGAGAATAGATTTTCTTGAATCTATTTGATAAGTTTGGGCATGGCTGTAAATGGTGAGGGTATCTTTATTTCCTGTCCCTTCCTCTCCGGCTCTTTCTCTTTTGCCTGACTTCCTGGCTGCCATGAAGTGAGCTGCTTTCCTCTGCCACACCTTTCCACCGTAATACTCTGTCCTGAACTGACCATGAACGGAGACATCTGCAAACGTGAGACAGAATAGGCCTTTTCTCTTTGAAGTAGTGATATCCCAGCAATGATAAAGTGACTGATACAAATGAGGGGTAATAGCTGCTATCTTTTGTTCCTTCAGATGAGTTGGCTGTTTATAGAAAACACTCAGGGTTTACGTATTGATTCTGTTTAGATTTTGCTAATGACTGGAGAAAAATCAGGTCAGTATTTTAAGATACTGCAATACTTACCTCTCTGACACTGATTTCTTGGAAGCTGGTA